ATAATTATGTATATGTGACCATTAATTGTATAACTGTGATTTTATTATATTTAATTAATAAATATATTTAATTAATAATTTATATACCTAAATTTTGAATTTTCAAACGATAAACCTGATTTGTGAATTTGTGTAAACTATACACTTGATTTATGATTTTTTTTTCCCAGGGAAAATTACCCAAAACTTTACTTCTCAAGATTAATTTTCACAAAACAAGGAAATTAATTTTTATTTCAAAATCAGGTGATAATTAGATTTTAATAATTATAATTAATAAAAGTTTAATTAACACACCCACCCCATTCATTTCAAACTCCTAAAAATATTCTCTCCCCATTCATTCTCTCTCGTTTCTTCTCACCCCCATACAGGCAAATGAGCCGACGACCATGAACTGCCAAAAATGGAGGTTGTACGATGGTGAAAAAGTAATTTTCGTGTGGTAGTCTGCATTGCTACGTTTTCCCAAAAGTTGGCCCCAATCGGAGTTGTTTGCACTTTTACACTAGCACTATTATTCAGTGTTCTGAAAAGTTTGCGTAGGCTCGAAATTCGTACAAAACATCTCGCTTTGCGTCGAGATACTTTTTTTTTCCAATTCCTAAATGATTGAATTTTTCCTTCTTCTCTTTCGTCTTCCCTAACCGCGCTTTGTTAGTTTTTTTTTTTTTTTTTCATTTTTCTAAAAAGTCTTTTATTTGAATTTAGCCTATTAATTTTTTTATTTTTAAAAAAACTTTTCATTTGACTTTATTTTCAAGTTTTTAAAATTTTTTATCTGTATAAAAGTTAAAAATGACTTTATCTAAATAGTTAAATAAGATTTAAGGTATGATGCTATCGACGTTATGTAATTATGATATTGAGATTCGTTAGTTTGTTGCAAATTCCAAAAACATGTATGAAGTTTCTATAAATTTATTAAGTATGAGTTGTCTAATTGAAAATTGAAATTATGAAAATTATTCTAAATTTTTTTACATTTGAAAAAATTTGAATATTGTATAATTGACTAATGGTAATAAATATTAAGCAAATATAATATTTTATAATTTTATATGTTTGGTAAGAAGAAAACATTTTTTTGAAGCTTAAGTCTCGCCTATGCTCGCTTAAGTTCATAAAACTTGAAGCTTTACCTCCACGCATAATCACACTTTATACTTTTCAGAACACTGTCACTACTATGAACATAAGAACTTGGTGGCTCAACTGGTCATGAGATTCAGCATCGTCGTTACTCCCCAATGGCGATGAAAGGCTATAGAGGTAGTGTTGCGCAGCGAGAGGCTATGGAGGTGGTGGCTGCACAGTATAGATGAGTGTCGCACACTCACTGTGTGCGTGACAGCATAAGTATAGCGCGACGCTGATCTCGCCGCGTGTAGTGGCGAAAGGCTATGAGGTGGTGATGGTCGGTGCATGTGAGTGTCACGTAGTCGATGTGCACGGGCGACGCTGGGGAAGCAGGCGATGACACTCTCGCATTTAGTGGCATTGTGCCGACGTGGCTATGGGGATGGTGCAATAATGACTACTTGTCACTATTGCAAGCAGCGACGTCACTGGTGCTGAGGCGCATAGCGGACGCCACCTTTGTTGGTGGTTTTTTATTTGATATGGGTGGTATACGATAATACATTTTACAAAGAACACATAGGTCCCACTTGAGAGTACGTTAACAATCTCATTCACATTAAAATTATATATGTATATGACCAAATTAGAAGGCTTCTGTAAAATATGACTCCAATGTTAATTGTTTCCTTTTGAAATTGATGTCTCATTGGACCTCATCTTTAACTTTTCTTAGCACATTAAGAAGTTCTTGTGAAGTGTTCTCATATTGCAAGAGAAAATTATACAATAGACGCAACCTACTGCCTGAGTTGTTCGAACACTTCTAGGGTTAGTAGATAAGTCAACCCTCTGATTCTACGAAAGAATATTGAGGAGGTCCTAAGGAATATGTTGGGGAATTTGTCGATTATATTATGGGTGCTCATGATTATCTCTGATATGCTCTTTTTTTATGTGTTCATCCTGAATCGAATGTTCACCATCGCATTCAATAGCAATTTCTTGCAAACGGTGCCAGCTGATGCTACCAAAAATTGTACTTGGGTGGCATGAGGTCGAGATATGATCGAGTTTGAAATTCGAACTTGAGGTGCTCATGAATAGCGCTATAAAATATTTGAACCTAAGATTTAAAAATTTGACCTTGTAGTCCCTCCATGCTTAAGTGAGTGAACAAATAGAGAGAAAATATGAAAGAAAAACTTTAAGCTTAAGTAAAGGGAAAAGAATGTAGTTGCCTTTATATAGTATTCTAGGTAATAGATACCTAGAAGAACTAGGATGCCTAGGGGCCATGGGCCAACCCAAACATTTAGGAAGCCTTGTCCATGTTGACTGTGGGGCTAAGACAATACTACAATTAGGGAACGAGATCTTCATACGGCTAAGGAAAGTCTAATTGGAGTGGGGGACCACTCAAGCCTGACCATGCCTTAGGTGGTTGGGAAACGGACTTGGGAGGAAGAACGATGCACTCATAGGAATAAATAGATCGGTGAGAGATATCATTCTCGGCCATCCCTCAAGTCGGGAATGGACCATAGCAAGGATGGAATCCCATCCTCGAAAATATTAAAGTCAAAACAACCCTTGTGCAAGTAGGGGAATGAGTTCCTCGAAATTGTCATCCCTAGGTTGGCCCTAGGCATGATTTATTCTATGATTAGTGTCTAAATCTAAATAACGTACCAAAATGGCATACGGACGCAGTATGAATGGCTAGACTATGTTAGGTCATTTTTTATATTTCCATTCTCTCCACTTTCTATTATGTCAATTTCATATGCAAAATTACCCACTTATGTCTCTTGATGGATATTTTTCTTTTTACTGTTGATGCAAAGAATGGTTAAATTGTTGGAATTTAGCTTAAAAATTAAAAATTTGGTTAAGAATAGATCTTAAAAGTGACTTTGTGTCAATTTCGGCAAAATATTCGAATGTGATCCAATAGTCAAATTATAAATATAAATAGACTAACTTGTTCTACTCATAGAGTAGATCGTCGTAGTATATTTATAATTTCAAAATCAATTCCGAATGAATTGGAAATTGTAGTCCCAAGTTGGAAGAAAAACGAGATGGAAAAGAGGAAAAATCATATAGCACTACTGCTCGAGATGAAACTATCGGTCGACCGACAGGCGGGCGGAAAATTTTTTGTTAAACAGGTATAATGGCATTAGAGCGAGAGGCCAGCGACGACAAGCTAGCAACAACAAGCGATGCTTCCCTTCGTGAAAGTTGCTGAGTTTTGAGGCGTGATTCTTCACTCACAACATCTCATCTTCTATAAATATGACCATTTGGACTTCCATTATGCATCTCATATTATTTGCATTGAGCATTACACCAAAATCTCTTACAAAAACTCTCCAAAAATCATTCCAAAATTATTTTCTCATAAAGAGAAGAAAAATTGTTTGAGTTCGTTGTTGCTTGTAGTTTGAAGTGTTTCTTCCATAAGTTGTATCTGTTATATCTCGGGAGACAAGTGTCATAGTCAGTTAGCACTGTTGCGGGGAAAGTGTTAATCATTTGCTTCGGATTTCTTTTCTCTACTTTCTTTTCATTCTCCTTATTTCTTTTCTTTTATAGTTTACATAGAGTTTAATTACGTCCATACAGATTAAACTTAACCATTACTTTGTCAATTAAATAAACAACGATTTCAATAAACAGTTCATCAACAATTTTAAGACAAAATTCTTATTTGTGGTTGTTTGTTGAAACAAATTACTTCTCTTCATCTTTGGAATAAGCCTTCGTGTGCTATTTCTTTCTTTCATTTTGTGAGTTTAAATTATGTTTGTAACATAAATGAATACTGTTGAGACTATTTCGAGTCAAACAACTAATGGTGCGAACCATGTGGTTCCGCCTTCGGCTATATCTACACCAAACTCTCATATCCCACGTAGGGAAATATCAAAAAAGTTTGGAGATGTGGATTTCAAAATATGGAAACAAAAGATGTTGTTCTATTTTACTATTTTGAATTTGAAAAAGTTCTTAAAAGAGACTGCTCATGCGGTACAAGAAGGGAAAAATAATCATGAGTTGATCATTGCATTGGATGCATGGAAGCACTCAAATTTTCTTTGCAAAAATTACATACTAAATGTATTGGGCAATACATTTTATGGAATGTATAGTTTGATGGACTCAGCCAAGGATCTATGAGATTCATTGGAGAAGAAGTACAAGACCGAGAATACCGGAACAATGAAGTTCATTGTCTGCATGTTTTTGGATTACAAAATGGTAGACTTCAAAATCATGGTAAGTACGAGAACTTCAAATTCTACTTTATGACATAAATGTAGAAAAGATGGAATTGAGTGAATCTTTCTAAGTTGCAGACATCATTGAGAAACTTCCTCCTATGTGGAGAGATTTCAAAAATTATCTCAAGCACAAATGCAAGGAGATGAATTTGGAGGAATTGATAGTCTATTCGCGGATTGAGAAAGACAATAGAAACATCGAAAGAAAATCTATTGTTCAACTTAGAGGTGTCAATCCGGGTGGTCCGGGCCGGGTCGGCCCGCCAACATGTGAGCCCGGTAACGGCCCGCGTGAAAAAAAGCCCGCCCGCTGCGGGTTCCGGGCCGGTTACGGGTCGGCCCACAATTTTGGACTACAACCCAGGCCCGCCCGCTGACCCATCCGGGTCGAGCCCATGCGGGTCACGGGTCGCGCGGGTCGCGGTTCGTTCCGATTTTGGCCCGTATGATTGTATAAATAAAATTATAAAAATATAGAATTTTTCATATTTATAGCAAAAAATATATTTTTTTATTAAATGTAAACTAAGAATTGAACAAAATGATAAATTCATAATTATATCAAGAAATTTTTACATAGAATTCAAATTTAATGTTACATGAATTATTTATAACTTTGCAAACTTCTACAACATTATCATCTTCTAAATTTATTGGAGAGCAACTATTATTGAAAATAGGATTTTGAGAAAAAGAATCGCGAGAATCCATAATATAGTAGGATTAAAAAATTTAGTAGTGACTAGTGAGAACCGAGAAGAAAGAAATATAATCAAGATGAAGATGATGATATTTGCAATTGAATAATTGTAATTGTAGTAAGGTAGTAACAAGTATAAATATATAATAACTAATGAAAGAGTATTGTAAAAATAATTGTAAAAATAATCTCCCCCCCTTTAATTTTTGTTTTATTTTTTTTATTTTTCAATTTTTTTTACGGGCCGCGGGTTAACCGCGGCCCGTGGGGGTGCAACCCGCGAAGCCCGCGGGTTACACCTCCTTGGCCCGTGAACCGCCCGCACGGGTCACGGGTCGGCCCGCGGTCCCGATTTTCATGGGCCGGTTTTTACGGGTCATGGCCGGCCCGTCCGTCTTGACACCTCTAGTTCAACTTGGAGCAAATTTTGTTGAAACTGATTCGAAGGTTGTCAACAAGAAGCGTAAGATATCTGATAATGTACTAAGAAAGGACAACTCCAAGAATGCCAAGAAATTTAAAGACAACTGTTACAATTATGAAAAAGTCGAAAATCAGTCAAACGAATGTCGAAAGTCGAAGAAGATTGCACAAACAAATGCAGTTGAAATAGACACCCTTTCTGAAGGAGTTTAAGAGATAAGTCTACTGTGGTTGTTTCTGAACGCAACACGGTTGTTCTCATAGATAGAAGAAAAAGTGTTTGAGTTCGCTGTTATTTGTGGTTTGAAGTGCTTCTACCACAAGTTGTATCTGTTGTATTTTGGAAGACAAGTGTCGTAATTTGTTAGCCCCGTTGCGGAGCAATTTATCTTAAGGAGAAAGTGTTAATCACTTGCCCCGAATTTCTTTTATTCACTTTCTTTTCATTCTCCTTATTTCTTTTGTTTTATAGCTTACACAGAGTTTAATTACGCTATTGCGAATTAAATTTAACCATTACTTTGTCAATTAAACAAACAACAATTTCATTAAACAATTCACCAACATATTTGTATAGAAAAAAAATACTCATTTACTAGATGAGTATTGCTTAGACATATTTAAGGACAATTTTGATCGATCCTACAAGTACCATTGAGTCCATTTAATTAGACTATTAATAAATTAAATATGTGTTACCATGGTAGTACTTGAATAGTCGTTCACCTATTCAGCAAGTTTGCCGAACTCGTGGAGAGCGTTTTAAATCATTGATTAGGTCTTCCCCCAATTTTCTCAATACGAGGATGACTGAAACTGGGATGTTATGTCGACTAAATGCTGCTTCCCATCAACAAAAAGGAACAACAATGGATTGTCTCAACATATGGATCACTTTTATTTTAAATGATGAAGTTGGAGGTCTTGAGGTTCTTGACAGCATCTCCAATTATCTATATAGATCTCCTAAGTAATATTTTTGGAGAGGTTATTTTCTCTACCAAAGGAGATATAAATTGTATTTTTCGGTAGAAAATGTTAGATCCACAAGAGGCAAAAAGCTACCAATTCACTTACACCAATTTTTTTAGATCTTTCCATTGGAATAGAATTTGAATTTAGATCCACCACGATGTAAATGAGGATGCAAAAGTAGTTTTTGAGTTATCAATTTACACTCAATTTTACACCACCAGTGAAGATGATCTAAGGATGGAGAATGGATTCTAATTGTTCCTATTGAAGGCACAATTGTTGTCAATGTAGCGATATTATTCATGTAACTTGTATTTTCGTATAGCGCTAAAGTCATACAAGTTTTATATTATGTTCATAGTCTTGTTATGCAAGTTCAATATTTCATTTTAGTGTGTGGGAGTTAATTAGATTTTGTGTATAGTTCTGAATACTCGTTTTTGAGCATTTGCTCAAGTCTTGAGATATAATAAGTTCAAGAGTGCACTTCACAGAGTTATAAAATCAAAGGGAAAAAGTCATCACTCGTTTACATTTTTCTATATTTTTCGAGGAGACAAAAAGGTGGAACCATTGTCATTTCTCACTAAACAAATTTGAGAGTCAACAAAGTACAAAGGATTCGTGTAAAAGGATTATCAAGCTCTGAGGATAAGAAAATTGATACATCCACCATTAAGAAAGGATGATATAATCAACATAAATCATTGTGCAATCTCCACAATGTCATCAAGCATAAACTAGTCATTATATATGTTTCCTTGAAAATGGGATGTGTTCTTGCTTATATACTTAAGTTTATGCATTGATGGTTTATTGTCCAATTTGAATATCTATTCAAATGTGCGTAACTTGAATATAAATTTATGCATAAATGAGTATAGAGTGGAAATCACTTACAATATAGTCCTCGTGTTGTAAATCACTCTAGGATTCTTTGCGAGATCTACTAATGCATTTTTGTTTATTAAAAGTAGTTGGACTATAGCCTAACAATGTCCAGAAGCTCATATCATAATTAGATACTGGGCTTATTGCACCTCATAGATTTTAGCCCAACGGCACGAGTCGAGCCCTTAGATTCTCGGACTATAAAATCTCAATTGTACATTCATCCCGGCATAATTTTGGACCTCTTAACCTATCTCGGTGTGCTAATATATTCTATGGACAGAACAAGATTGTACCATATTATGGAAAAAGAGCATTATGTTCAATTAAATGTACGAAATATAATATCGTGTTCATTTATGAATTTGTACAATCAGTTGGTCGCATTTTTTATAATAATTAATAAATTTTAGTTCAGTATATCTAAAAAACAAGTTAGGTCGCTCATAAACTTAAAAAATGGTGGCATGTCCATTTCGGAAATTGAAACTCTATGAATCTTGTTTCGGATCCAGTCACACTTTCCATTTCCAATTTCGTGCAGTGTAATAAAATAAGCAATATTGAATTAAAAAAAGAAAAAATCTGCCCATGATTCGGACTGCATCATTTAGTTCGATTCACTTTGTTTCTAATTTTCTTTAATTAAAACTAAAAACGGTGAGTAAAAAAGTGTAATAAAGATAATTTATACATTTGTGGGCTGATGATTTCCTTTTGACTTGTTGCAATGTCTGACTGTGCAATTCCGACGGTGGATCTTTCTGTGTTCTTCCAAAACGGCGATGAGGAAAGCAAGAAGGCGGCGAAAGCCATAATCAGCCGCGCCTGTTCTGAATACGGCTTCTTTCAGGTTGTAAACCATGGGATACCGCTGGAGCTTATGAGCCGAGCCATGGAGCTTACCAAGACATTTTTCGCGTTGCCAGAGGAGGAGAAGATCAAGTACAGACCTATATCCGGCGCGCCAGTTCCAGCCGGTTATGGGAAGCAGCCGGCACACTCTAGTGATAAGAATGAATACTTACTGATGCTTCCACCTCAGTCCAGTTTCAGTGTTTTGCCCAATGACCCACCTGGGTTCAGGTACATTTTATCCAGATAGGATCAAATTGAACTATAATTGGGGATCTATCTTCAGATTCTCTACCTCGATAATGTATTGATCAAAATTACTTGTATTCTTAGTTGAGTATTACTTAATATGTGTTGCCAGGGAAGTACTTGAAGAGATGTTCAACAATTTCAGCAAGACAGGTAAAGTTGTGGAGAACATTTTGAACGATTGCTTGGGTCTTCCTCCTAATTTTCTCAAGGAATACAACGATGACAGAACCTGTGATCTTATGTCGGCTAAGCGGTACTTCCCAGCAACAGAAACTGAAAACATTGGGATATCCGAACACGAAGACTCTAATTGTGTCACTTTTATTTTTCAAGATGAAGTTGGAGGTCTTGAGGTTCTTAAGTACGGAGAATGGATTCCAGTTGTTCCTGTTAAAGGCACGATAGTTGTCAATGTAGCCGATGTTATTCAGGTAACTTCATTTTCACTACTGACGTATTTGGTAAGTTAAAATATTGTCATACCTTAGTAGTACTGAACATGTAATATACAATTTTCAGGTCTTATCTAACAGTAAGTTCAAGAGTGCAACTCACAGAGTTATAAGATCAAAGGGAAGAAGTCGTTACTCGTTTTCCTTTTTCTATGACTTGCAAGGAGACAAAAGAGTTGAACCATTACCGTATTTCACAGAACATATTGGAGAACCACCGAAATATAAACAATTCGTGTACAAGAGTTATCAAGCGTTGAGGATAAGAAACAAGACTCATCCACCACAGAGGCCCGAAGATGTGATCAACATAAGTCATTATGCAATTTCCCCACACAATAATCAAGTTATACACTAGTGAGTAGACAGATGAACTCTATTTACCATATATGTTTCCTTTGCAAATGGGATGTGTTTGACTTATATATAAGTTCATGTACGGGAGAATTTTTTGTTTGTGCCTAATCGAGGGTCAAATGGTTGTTCATTCTTAGGAATGAGTCGTCTATATTCGACGCCTCCCCATATTGCTTGAACACATAAATCACAACTCGAGGGTCCAAAGAATGAGTGAATGGTCTTTCATTCTTAGGACTGACTCGTCTATTTATATGGAGACTCCCCATATTGCTTGAACACGTTAATTATGCAACTTCTTCGTAATTATTAAGTATAAACCAAAGTTTACACAATTATTGCATCTGTTTCCTTGTAAATGGGATGTTTGTAGCTTATATATGTAAGGTGATGATTGGTGTTTTATTGAGATTATTTTGAAGATTGTATTTGTCGACCTCGATTTCTTATTGGTAACTGACCAATAGATTCTGGCTACACTCGTGTGCATGTAAAAAGTTCCTGCACACTTGGACAATTTGTTAGAAGCACGTGATCTTCTCTGAAAGTGGGAGAGGAGGTCACGAACACTAAAACGGTCAAGTCATCAACTTATATATTTGGTTGTAGGATGAATGGAAGACGTGAGCTACATGTGTATAGACACCGGGCTGAAGAGAAAAAATAACAAGAGTGAGCTATTATAATATTATTGAAAGTGTAAAATCGTATTACCTTCAAATGACATTAGGTGTAAGCTTTTATAGCGGAAGGGGTGAAGTAGTATTCATTAAAAGAAAGACATGTGGCCTCATCTTAATGGTCGAGGTCTCTCCTCCTAGTTGTCACTTCTGCAATCCTAGGTTCAGAGGGTATTTAATGATTTTGAAAAGTAATCACTCTATAGTTTAGGTCTCACATTTGAAAAGTCGGATGACAAGTTAACTGTGGGGCACCTGCTGCATAAAGGTCATATGAATCAATCACAAAAGATCTTGTATGGAAGATCTCTTGGAAAAGGTGAAGCAAGAAGATACCTTTGTAGGTTTAGAGCCTAGCCGCTTCAGAATCGCATTATAGCAAGTCGTTGCACCTCGCCTCAACTGTAGAGGGTCAGCCTCTTACATAGAGCCTTAGTTAAAGTGATGGTATCACTTCGATTACCTACTGTTTGGTGCCTCGGACGGTTAAGAGGATGATGACACGGAGTGTGAGTCGAATTTATTTGTTAGTTGACTGCCACATGGTAAGTGATTGGAGCTTTTTCGGATGAGTCGTAAAATTATAAAATTTAACCTGGGATGAATAAGAATATTGTATTTCTTAAATATTTGGTTTTGGTGCTCGAATCACTTGCATCATCAGTGTGATGAGGGGTGAGTATATTTGGTTAAACTTAGAAACAAGTTTAAATTATGCAGCAAATTTACTCTTTTACCTATAAAAAGTCAGAAAAAGTATTATTTGAACATGTTCGTGTTCCTCCCGTATTGCTTTTACATGGCTTTTCAAGGCTCATAAATCATCGAAGATTGGGTGAGACACCGAAGTATGGTGGCTAAGTCTTCAAAATCCTCCATTCTGTGTTTTCACATAGAAAATCATTACTTTGTTATTATGGTAGATTGAAGATTTTAAAAGAGTAACTTTTAATTAACTTGAAACATGTTTAAAAAAAGAATTTTCTTAAAAATAACTTTTAAGCTAAGCTCAAAGTGGGTTACAAGGAAGTTTTTGGGTTTTGATACCCTATAAATCTCGAGCGATGATGTTACTCATTCAAGATTTTCGATTGGCATTGACCATATGATTGAATTAATTATCTACATCTCAATGAAATTTCCCGACTCGAAAACTACTTGCCATTGGAAACAACCTAATTTAATTAGAGATGCTCATGGCATGTCCCGTTGATTTCCTAAAGGCTTATAAAGGTTGGCCCATTTGTTGGTTTGGTCTTGGCCCATTTGTATACCTAATCTAACCTATATATGCAGCTTTTTTTGCTTTGTCCTTCACGTGTTATTGCTCTCCTTTTGATTTGAGAAAACGGTTGTCTCTTGCTTTGTGCTCCAACCGGTTTCTCTCTCTTTTTCTCGCCGTTGTGACTGTAATAACTCAGTCCCTTTGTGTCCTATGTGGGTGCAAATGTAGCAATCGAAGTGTAGACAAATAGTAGTGATTTTAGGTGTTTGATGAGGTTGAGTTTGGTAGACTGAGCTCGAAAAAAGTCTTTGTTGAGCCATCTTCCGCAAAAAAATGGTATCAGAGTGCATTGGTGTGTGACTTTGGGCCAAAATCCGACCTGAAAAATGAAGCAAAAACTGGTAAAAAGCAGAAAAAATTAGTCCAGTTCAAAAATCAATATGCCCGAATTTGTTTTCATGTTCAGCAGATCAAGGTGCACGTGGGTAGGTGGCACGTAACCGGCGATGACGGCACGTAGCAGTCGGCGTATGGACCTTCGGCGACCACACGTGTAGGCGCATGAGGCTTTTTCAAGGACGATGTCTTCTGATAGATTTTTCTGGACGATGAGACAAACCCTTTGGTGGTGTTCGATTTACGTTTTAGGTAAAATTGTGGTTCTAGACGGTTTTATCCTTGGACGTTCAAGTGCCGAGCGTTGGTGTTCATGTTGCAATGATTGTTGGAGACTTTAGGGTGAATAGTGGTAGACCTAAAGTGGTAAATTCGTATATCTCCTTGTTTACGGACCCGCAGTTATGGTCCGCTCAGTATCTTGTTCTTTCATTTTTTTTATTGCAATTAAGACTATCGTGTGGAGTAGCCATTTACTTTTTGCATTAGAAGTCATTGTGTGCAGGTAACATTAAGTTTGGGGTTACCATGTGGGGTAATCATTATCTGTTGCTAGACCTAAAATTTATTTGTTAATTATTTAGCTTAAATTCTTTGTGAATTTTTTTTTTTTTACACTGTTAGAATTGCATGTGATCTTAAAAAAGTTTGTTTGACAATTTTGTGTGAATTGTGTATTTACTTAGCTCGTGGTCATTATTTGGAATTGATGGCAAATGTAGATTTAAGACACATGTGAAAAGTAAAAAGTGTTTTAATTGCGGTAAATTTGGACATGTTGAAAAAGTAGGATAGTAGAAGGATAGAAAAGGAGAGAAGTGAGGCGAATGTTGCCATTGGGTCGAGCCATGACCCGTGTGAGGTTTATTGAGATTAAACCTGATTACTATATGTGCATCTATGTGTAATCCTTTCAGCATGTGTGTAATTGCTTAATTCTGTTGCATGGTTATATGTTACATTTCAATATGTTTGATATGTGCTTTTTTTTAATTTGAGAGCAATCTGATTAATTGGTATAATGTGTTTGCATGCATAATGGGTTGGGATGCCTTAGCATTAAATTTGTTGTTTGTCTTTTGGTAAAATAGAGTATAGATGTCTGAGGGTGCATTGATGGTATGTACCGGGGGATGTGGAGAGTGACATTTGGATCACGAGTGGAATAGTAATTAAATATCTAGAATCCTTTATTTGTGAAGACCTCAGGTAGAGTGTGAGAGTGACTTCTATCACTTCTGTTAGGTGGAGACCCATTATCCACTTAAATTGAGAGAAGTGAGGTAGTGATAGAGGATCATCCCGTTGACTTAGAATCTATAGTAATTTACCAGTTAGGCATGTTTTAGTGATCAATCTAGTGAGCATGGTGGGCGATGGAAGAGATGTGTATTCTTGAGGTGCGAGTTACACAAAATAGGATAGGATAAGTGGGGAGAGGTTTTTTTGTGGGGCCATTTATGCTTTTGTTTCATATGTGTTTGGTCATTTGATTGACTCACTTGGTGTTAGTCTGTTGTTCTGTGTGAACATGTTTGAGAAGATCTGATCATCCCATGTGTAATATGCTTTTGATTGATTACTTGTTCCTCCTTGGTTCTTTTTTTGCCTTAACCATGGTGAGTACATGATGTAGGTATGGTATGTGTTTCGGGTCCGAAACACGAGATAAGGTCTGTGATTCCAATTTTATTTGTTTGTCTTGATTATGTATGTGTAAACTTTGGATTTTGGTTTCTTGTAGGTTGACTAGGTGTCAAGGTAGAGATTTGTTCGGTTTTGATACCTAATAAATCTCGGATGATGATGTTACTCGTTGGAAATTTTCAGTCAGCATTGACCAAATTACTTAAATGATTATCAACACCTCAATGAAATGGCCCGATCCAAAAACTACTCAGGGCCATTGGAAGCAACTAATTTATTTAGAGATGCTCATGACCTGTCTATCCCGTTCACTTCCTGGGGGCTTATAAATGTTGGCCCATTAATTATCCTACTTGGCCCATTTGTCGGTGTGATCTGGCCCACTTTTCTACCTAATCTAACCTACAACACACACACATACATACCTCCTCCTCTTGCTTTGTCCTCACGTGTTATTGCTCTCCCTTTGCTTTGAGAAAATGGCCGCCTCTTGCTTTGTGCTCCAACTATTTCTCCCTTTCTTTTTCTTGCCTTTGTAGTACAATAACACTGTTCCTTTGTGGATGCCACTGTAGCAACCGAAGTGTGGGCGAATAGTAGTGGTTTTTGTTTGACGATTTAAGGTGTTTGATAAGGTCGAGTTTGGTAGACTGAACTCGAAAAAACACCTTGGTGGAGCATCTTCCGCAGCAGAAGTACTATAAATCGTTGAATCTCTTGATAAAAGGTTAAATTGTTAGATCTGACCCATTTGATACTTTTTCTTTATTAATAATATATTTAATAAATACTCAAAAGAGTAAATTCAATGAATCCTTACTAAACTTTAAAATTGTTACTACTTTTTCACCGAACTTTAACAGGTTAACCAATACTCACTTTATATATATATATATATAGTTACTCACACACCACTCTTTTAACTCTCATCTCTCGAAATAGATGGAAATATACATGTGGTTTATAGAAATCTAATGTGGCAAATAATTTCCGTTAAATGTTGGCAACCTGGAATGAACCACAACTCCACTTCCAAATTCATTCTCCAGCCTT